CTCACAGCGTGAATCATACTGTCTGTTCCTACAGAGAATACCAATTTGTCTTCCAGACTGCGCAACCTTCTGCTACTACAGGAAAGAGTAAGAAAAAGGCATAATGGAATCTCCTCTGGCCACAACTCGGGAGCACTTTCCTCTGAGGTGATAATCACCTGACCTGTGATCACCACTTGGGACACCTGGTTCTGAGAGGGAGACCTGAGCAGCATTAAGCTATTCAGTAAACCGAATTGTTTTTAGGGCTCAGTCCTAGTGAATCTGGAGATGGGAGTGCAAGTCTTAAGCAGAGGCAGCAGCCTTGGGATTTCATCATGCTGCACAGGTCATTTACCTGGGGGAGCATCCTTTAAAGCAAAAGGGCGATTCTTTCCGGAGGGCAAAGCTCCCCCTCCTGCCTCACAGACAGGCTCAAGTGCAGCTGATCAGCTCCTCCTGTTCCTTGTCCCTGGGATGTTATTTGCATATTGACACGGAAACCAAAACATAGAATAACACTTCACCTTAGGAAGCTCTGGGGCTACCCCTCGAGGAGCTGTTTAGCCGGAAGCAGCAAGTGAAAGGATGGGCAGCCTCAGCCTGGGCTCCTCTCTGGAGCTCCTGTCCCCTGGCCCGCTTCTCAGCTGCGCACACAGAGCTTCACAAAACCTGTCATCAGCATCACAAAAATGAGTTCCTTCCTGAATCAGGTTCAAAGTAGGATGACCCTGGGGCTATGGAAAAACAAACAGAGAAACAAAATGACAACAACAAAAAATAAATCAGACACTCTTCCACAAAGTGGCCTCCTTTGTATATATTTTCAATAAGTAATCACCCTGAGTGGGGTTGGAGGAAGGCACAGCCATCTTAGTCACTGGAATTCACCTTCACCACCTTACATGACTTGTTCCTCCAGGATGTCCTTGCTCCTGGGTGTTTTGATCCCTGCACCCTTTCTCACGCTAGATTTGTTGCTTTCAGCCCCAACATGCGATTTGAGCCCTGGACTGAGGTCTGGGTTGGATTCCTCCATAGACTTTGCTTTTTATTAGTGCATGTTTGCAGTGCATGAAGTTTTCATTCACTGTGCAGGTACATAACACGGCTTGTTTCTCTTTCTAATTTCCTTTCCTGCCCACTTCGTCCGTCTCTGAATCTCCCTGCCCCATTCTCATTCTTCTTGTTAGCACTGCTTCATGTTTATGACATATAATGCTTACGCTCTTCGTGGGTGTTTGGCACATGTGTGTGACATTTCTTAAAACTTTCTACTTCTTCTTTTCTCTGCCCCTCCCTGTCTCCCTGTTTCTTTCTACCAATCCTTTGCTTTTTATTTGTACTTTGCCTTACTCAAAGAAGAGATACCCTATGGTATTCAGCTCACGTGTCTTATTTATTTCATGATTACAGTTCTAAATTTTATCAGGGAAGCCCTCATCTACTAATACACTGGATACCCCACTTCTCAACTGTGTCCGAATTTACACTTACATGGGAGAGGGAGATTGTGTTACCAAGAATGATGAAGAGGAGAACACAAAACAGAGCCAAGGAGGAGAGGAAAATTATAAAAAAGCAGAACTAGTGTCAAGGATAGCCTGTGCTTTTGTACACTAAGGAGTCACTGAAAGGACCCTCATTACCAAGCTGAGAGACCTGTGTCACTGTTTGTGTCCCTTAATTAAATCACACTGCTCCTGTCTCGACATTAGTGTCCTTTTCTGTAACGGAGAAGGCTGGACAAGTGCTCCAGTGCCTCTTAATTCTGGCATTCTGTAATTTTAAGGGCAGTAGAGAGTATACAGTTCTGAGTGTCCCAAAGGCATAAGTTTATTACAGCTGAATCTAATAATTAATATTCACCATGATGACTTTGGCTCATCAAGGAAAATTACATTATGCCCAATGTGCTTTTAAGGAAGCCTCATAAAGTTTAATACATTTTAGAATGATTTTCTGTCAGAATGTTAAATGTATCTGCGTATCTATGTCTCTGTGTCTATCTCTCCATATATATTCATACAAACACACCTCCTGTTCGTGCAGGCAGGCATGGTGTTTAGCACTTACAAAGGCAATGGCAATCGTTTTGTTATTCTGAAAACATGTCCTCTTGAATGATTTACATTTCAGGGATTCTGCAGGGAAGTTTAGCATATCTATAAAGCATTTGATCAAAGTGACTGCTTTTTTGAAGGTACTTATCAATACCAGAAAATGCTCCGAGTTATATACTTTAGATAGGTTGTTATGGAGGCAATTAAATTTGCTTTTCCAGCAGTATATTTTGTGTGTTTTAGTATTTTATTGTCATGCCATGTTTTTCTTTAGAAGACATGACCATTTGAATTTGCCTTTTCTTCTAATTTACATTGATCTTCTCATATTTTAGTGAGTAGACTTTTTCTCTGATGAACTTTTTGTTTCTCTGGATATTTATATTCCTTGAAATTCTTTGGCTGTCATTCAGTCACTGACAGACACTAAATCTCCCTTAATAATTTCCACACATGTGGCTCTTCAAGCTCATGAATCAAGGTTTGCCCATAGTGCACACACCGTTCTGTCAGAACTGGTGTTCAGCAACTTGTGCCTGCTACTGTAAGCATCCTGAGGGAATCATTGCTGCAACTGAAGAAAACTTTGGAGTATTGTTCACCTTTCAATGCTATTCCTTTGGACTTCTCTCCAGGCCTATCACGGCTCAGAGTCACAGCCTGCTTAACCCCTGAAGGATGATGTATGATATAACAACCCTTGCCTTTACCTGTTTCAAGGACGAGAAAGACAGCTTCCTTTCAAGCTTTATGATTTCAGGCTTGCAAATACATATGGTAGACTCAGCATGGTGACACAAACCTGTTATCCCAGCACTCAAGAGGCTGAGGCAGGATGATCACTGGGAGTTTCAGGACAACCTGGGCTACAAAATGAGTTCAAGGCCAACCTGAAACTTTGTCTCAAAACAAAACAAACAAATAAACAAAAAGTACATATGGTGGCTATAAATGAATAAAGTTGGGCTGTTGCTGCTTGAAGACGATGGGATCAATAATTATTTACTACAAATTCTCATGACATTTTAATATCAAAGAAAGAGCAAATATGATATAGCAAACTGGTATTCAAAATTTGTTCACGCCAGAAAGGAACTGAGACATAACTTTTTCAGTGTGATTTATTATAGATGATCATTTTCCTTTTAGGAAATATAAGGCAGTGCTTTTTTCTGCCACTCAGGCTTTGAACCTCATTCAACACACTGTCTCTTCAGCCAAGTCACTTAACCTTCATGGTATTTGGTTTTCCTGAGATATAAAAATGGGGTATAAACTCAGTGACCTCTGATGGCCCATTGGGCTTTTTCACTGTTTGATTTGTTAGTAATCCACAAGATGAAGGACATTTATCATTTGTCAAATGTTGCCAATTGGGTTGCAGAAAGTCAGTGCAGAGTTTTGGGACCAGTTACAAGTATTTGATACTTAATTCTTGCCTACGCCATCCTGCAAGCACTTGGGAATTCAGACGTGAAGTATCCTTCAGTATTTCTGAAAGACTCCCAGGGGCAGGCCGAAGGATCCTTAGGGCAAACCCACTATTTAAACAGATGATTCATTATTAGGAAGAATTTGGTTCTAATTCTCAGAGACTTTTGAGACTCCAGGAATATGGCTTGCAAACAAAAATACTGATTGGGGGTAAGCCTTCTGAATTCGCAGAATGTAACTGTGGAGCCTTTTGAAAGCTTATTTGCTATGCTGGTTGCCTTGGGCAAGTACCTAACAAGCACTGGAATCAAGAGTAGAGAAATAAAGAATATAAGGAATACTATAGAATGGGAAATAGACAGACAGAAAAGTATGATTCAGAAGAATCTTGGCTTAGACAAATGTGCAGTCCATTAAGTTAACTGAACTAATCTAAACAAAATGGTTATAATATCATATTATATGACATTCACTTTTTGAAAGAACTTAGGACACTACTAGTGTTTACATGTAGGTAGTAAAATTATAAGTAGTATCTATATTCCTTATATTTAGCTTCCTACTATTTCTCAAAAAGTATTTCTTACTTTTATAAATTAGAAAATTAATTTTAGTAGAAATTCACCATCCCCTTTGATTGTGTATTGCCTGTTCTCAAGATTGTATTTTGTCTAAGTTGTATTTGTCAGTTTTTTAAAAAATTAAGTCAACAAAGGATATTAAGACTCTAAGATACTGTTTGAAGACGTGTATTTATAGTTAATATTACTAAACAGCTCTCAAACACTTCTGATTTCACTATTCGGTTTGATTATTAGAACATATTAGGCTGGTCATGGCATTGTAATTCTTACACGTGCATAGCAGGACAGAGAATCTGGAACTCTGACTTTGGACTCTCCCTGCTCTGTCTAATGCTCCCAGGTTCCCAGGGTGAGACATAAAGTATGTTCAGAAGTTCTCCACCAAAGGCATTCTAGTCTCTCAAACTATTTCTAGATAAAATAAAATTTTAAAAACCCGACTCTGGAAAATGAATGTCTTAGGAATTTTTTCTCACCTTTGCACCCCAGTGATTTGAACTACAAGATCATTTGACATGTCCGTATTAGATCTGCTATCTCTTGTTCCTTATATATTGGCATAAAGTAGTACGTGAAAACTGAAGGTAAAGGAATTCTCTGAAAACTGTGGTTTGGTAGGCAATTGTCCACCTATGAGCTGTCCTTTAGGTCAGGAAACATCTGATGGACTTAGTAGTCCCATTTGCCTGTATTTTTCTTTTGCTATGATAAATATTGACTAAGAGTTTTATGTCTTAATCCATCTCTGTCACCTAGAATGTAGATCAGTGACCTTGAATGAGTCATTAATTGCTTTCTCTGTACCTCTATTACCTTCATTTTGCAGTGGGGGTCATAGCATCGCTGACCTCAGGGAAATGTTGAGAACATTATACACATTCTCACTGCAAACTTTCCAGAATAGAATTACGTACAAAACGAGTTCGTAGCATGTATTAGATATTTTTATTGATAAGTATGAAACTGCTGTACAGTTAAATTAATGTAGTCATTGTTTTTTTTCATAGGTTTTTATTCTAAGGCACCACAACCATTTTCTTTTGATATCAGTGCAGATAAACTTAGATAAATCATTTATTCATGCTTTTCCCTTTACAATTATAATCAGGGTCTTTCAAATTTAAATTATAGATTTTATAAATGATATAAATCACTGATTAAGTACAGGCTTAAGAGTGTGACCATAAAAATCCACGTTTAGTATCTTGTGTTCATGTAAAGTAGATTTAATAAGAGAAGATTTTCCTCCACCAAATTCATTACCCTCAGGTAAGAGAAAGTCTTGAAGTCACTGTTTACATAAAATAGTCTCATTTCTTAAAACAGGTTTTCTTAAGGTCTTGCTTAAGGCTCAGTCTTCATGGCGTTCCCTCTGGCTGTGGTGGTTTTCATCTTTCACCTGTCTGCAGGAAATGGAGTGTGGCCAGCCTCATCTACCTTCACTCTGGACTGTCCCTCCCTCATTCTTCTCCGGAGCCATAGATTCCAGCCCTGCCAGGGTTGCAAAAGGACAATAGGGAAGAAATATAAATTTGTGACATTATTTCTTGAGTGGTAACATCATTATGTGGTTTACTCACTCTTAAATTCCCTCCTACCCCATAGATGACTTTGTATATTTTGAAGGTTTTTTTGGATGGTGAGTCTCATGATCTGGGTAAAGCATTCCATCCATCCGGCTGTAGTTACCTGCAGCTTGTGATGGGCTCCTCCTAAGGTCTCTTTCCCTTCTTCTTCCTCCTCTATTTTTCCTATTGGGCAGAAGATAAAATATTGTTAGACTAGCTTGCTCTTCCATTGATGCTAATCTGCTGAACATACTCAGAAATGTGTTCTGATGACATTTCAGAGCCAGACTGGTTCTAGTACAGCAGTGACATCTTTATTCTATGGCCAAAGCAGCCCAACCTTTTCTCACTCAGTAGGGTTTCTATTATTTCAGTTATGGAGCTCACCTGTCTCCAGAGACCACATGACTTTCTTTTCATACTCATCCCCTTCTCCTGCTGTTTATACCTTCATGCAGAATAAAAATACAACAGCCACATAACAGGCTCTTGGGATCTGTCCCAAGGCTTCCTCCTGGTGAGATCCTCCTGCCTGACTTTGACATCTATTATTTTTACTGCCTTTGGCATCTCAAATGAAACATCTGATTTAAAAACTTATTTTTAAGAAGAAGATAGGGCTTTTCATAGTGCTTAAAGTATTTCAGAAACATTTCAGTGATTGTATACAACATATAGTTTATGGAGATGCCAAGTTAAAACTAATTAAGGCCATGTAAAACCTTATAAAATTTAATCTTTGGGTAACAGTTGAAGATTTAAAGAGGAGTCAATGCCATGCAATGAAAGAGCACAAACATTGCTCAGCATCTTTAGGAGGACTTTTCTTTAAATGCTGACTCTACAGTTGAATTCTAAGATTAAGGGAAAAAAGACACTTATCTTATAATAAAGTAAAATGACCGTTCAACCGCACAGTTTGAAGTTTCTCTAATGGATTTAGCTCCATCAGAAAGAAACCTTCTATTTCATTTTCTGCCAATCACACAGAAACTTAGTAGATTACAATGCTAATGGGAAATTAATCGTGTGACAGTGGGAATGAGTTTGCATAAAATTCATTTAGTTGAAAATAGAAGCCATCATATTTACCAAATTTTAATTTAGCTAAGAGGTGGTACAGTAACAGCATAGTTAAACCACACTTACAACAAAGTACACTCCTAAACTTAATTGGAAACAACATTTGTTTGGTGATTGAAATTGAAGGTTTAAAAATGTGAATAGTAATGTAATATTTTCTCTTAGGGTTAATACATTTAAATGTAAGAATGGTATGCTGTTTGTAAGTATTAACAATGTACAATTCAAGTCACGCGCATGTATCAATACTTTGAGAAATGGGCTTCCAAAGGTCATTAATGTAATTTTTAGACATTAGAATTGTAATATTTCCAGAGGGCTTTTTTCTCTATTAATAATGAGGAAAATACTCTTTGTAGCATGTAAATGTACATTTTTCCCTTTTTTGTGAACAATCTGGTGACTTTTTAAAATTATACAATCAAACTAATTGGTGCTTATTTTAAACAAAGAAGATTTAGAATGTTTACAGTGTGCAGAAGGTTAATACTTTTAGTGAATTTGCATTAGTGTGTATAGTATCTTATTTAATCTTTCTGAGTTGTGTGTAATCGAATACAATCATCTGGTTATTATTGATTTGACAAAATGGTTTTATACCTCCCATTGTTCCCAACTTAAGAGGAAAACTAGATTCATATGAAATTGATTATTGAAATAAACAAGTGTCAAAGAGCTGTGACTGAGGAAGCAAACATTAATTTGTAGCCCAAGAAGGGCACAGTACTTCACAAGTTTTAATTTTCAACATTTGAGTTCTTATCTTAGATTAAGTCAGATACTACCCTAAGGAATTGCTTCATGTCTCTTAATTAAGGGGAAGAAAGATTATTTAAAGGTTAGCAGAAATTTAAACTTTGTATCAGATATGGGAGTCAAAAAATTGACTAGTTTCTCATGGACAGTTTTCATATGTTACTATAATCTTCTGAAGCAGAACTCTGTACATTTCATAAATGAGATGATTTATTCTCTTTCTGGTGAAGGTGCCACATTGATCTTATAATGAAGGAGACATTTTCTTTTGAATGTTCAGGCAGGGTCTGATCAGGAAATAGGAGCCACATGTTAATTTCAATAGAGTTTAATGTAAGAGGTATCAAGTGAAAGAGGAAAGGGGAATACGAAGAGGCCTCTACTTAATGTAAAAGTACTAGACAGAAGGCACAATAGAATCTCTGTGCATAAGATGATCCAAGCGGAGTCCTTCTCAGTCCCATGTCCAGGCCTGAGATCCTGATCTTTGGGAAGAAGCATCAGGGTTAAAGATGGCAGAAGTTGTTCCGGTGCCTTTCAGGCAGAGCTTGCTGGGGGATGCAGTCTTACAACTTGCAGTAAAGCTGTCATCTAGGATTCTTGGGTAATAGTTGGCATCAAGATATGTTCTCTGAAGCATTCTATTCCAAAACTGCCCTGCAGGGGTCTGGGAGAGGCTAGAGGGCCCGGGGTGGTATTGGTTACTATAATCTTCTGAAGCAGAACTCTATACAAGCAGCCAGCACTGCAGCTTCTGAGTGCTTGACAGACTTCCTGAGATTTAACAGGAGGGCACTGCAGGGCCAAAACTCTGCAGAAGCTGGAGGATAGGGTGGCACATGTGGTGCCAGGACTGGTGTCCAGGGAAGCCATGACGCTGTAGCAGTAAGGTGAGTGAGCAGCCAGAATTCCCGTTGCAGGAGCCCACAGAATAAGCTCACAGGAACCAATAGAGCAAGACAAATCAAACCCCCCAAAGCTCTGGAAACACCTCTGCGATGCCTTCTGCAGATGAAGCATTGCCTTCTCCATTGGCAAAGAGAAGACCTCATTTGATGATCTTGTCTTGATTTTTACCAAGCAGGCTTTAAATGATGGATTTGGAACTGAGAGGGAATAAAGTCATAGTGTTCTGTGCCGGGAAGACCCAAGGGTCAGTGGTGGAAGTCAGAAAGTCTATGCCAGCAGGATGAAGAAGCTGTGCTACTGAGAAGAGGGTTCTACACTGGAGCCAAGAAGTCACACTCACAACAAAGACCAGGGCTATCCTGAAAGGCACCACAGCTGTCCTCAGTGACACGGAAGCACCAAACTCCTCCAATGATAAGCACAGTCGGTTACATGCCAGAAAGCAGCGTGACAAGCTCATCCTGGAGACCAAGCAGCACACGCCTTCCCCTCCGGAGCCAGGAAGCAATGCTCGATATGAGGATCAAAGCCTCTCCAGGAGAACCAACAGCTCAGACAGCAACTCGTAGGAGAACCACAATGCCTCCTTAATGCCTCAACCCTCTACACCTCCCTTCTTCTCCACCTATTTATCCTGGCAACTTTCCTCAGGTGGAGCATCTTCGCCCAATTCCATGCCAATGTAATCCAGCTGGCTTTAAGTTGACCACCAGTTCTTAATCCATAACAAATCATAAGTGAAATAAATCAGATTCACATTTGTAAATGTCATATTGTCTCTCTAGTGTAAAAAATAATAATAAAAGGCTGAAAGACTAATAAGATCCAAAATGTCCAAGAGAAAGAAAGTGCTCAAAAGGAAAGAACAACTTGCAGGTATACACATATAACTGTATGTATAAGTGTGCAAGATAGATAACCATAGCAGTAACTCTCTGTTAGCTCATCAAAAAGAATAGTTTGTGCTGTCATTGTTTGATTGTTCATTTTTTACACTTAGATTTTATAACTTGATTTATGCTTATGCTTTGATTTTGTAACTTTGTCACAACTACTTTTAAGATAACAATATGCACTGTGTTAACTAGTGTTAATTTCTTACTGTTATTTTTTAAATTCTGTATTATTTCTACCCTTTTTGTTTTGCTTTTTAAAAATAAAAACAAAAACCCAAAATATAAAACCGATTTAACAAGGAAAATTTTAACATCTGAGCTGGGGAATGATTGTGGAGTTTGTTCTGTTTGGCTAAACTTCGTATTAGGTCCTCATAGCCTTGGAGGATCAGGAAGGAGGTGCAGTATGAGACTCACTGCTGTGTATTCAGTAAGAAGATTTTGTCCTTGAAGAGTGTGTGAGCCATAATTAGTGAAGGCAGGGAAGGAGGGGACCAGAGGTACTGTCCACTGTGTTTCACTGAGACTACTTGCTTAAGTATTTTGATTCATTAATGCAGCTGCACTCCAGTTCTGGCATGTGCATCACGATGAACTGCTGACCAAACTGACCTAACTGACAAGCTGGTTGAGTTTAACACAGGTTAATTTTTAGAGGCAAAACCATTCTGCTTGGTAACTTTTTTCATCTATCCTTTGAAACATGTTCTATTTCAATAGGGAATATTTGTTGTTGTTATATGATCACGCAGATAGGCAGAATAAATGTCATTTGCTATTTTATGGCTTTCCCAGATATTCAGGTATCTGAGCGATAAATATAGCAAATGTCTAGCAGTTTGTGTAAGCAGCCTTCAGCAGGTCTTGGATTTTCTGCCTGGAGATCATCCAAACTTTTGAGGGGGAAAAAACAGTTGGAAAATTAAAAAAAAAATAGTTCTGGTCCACATTTGAAACCAGGAAGCAGTGGTTATCAAATGAATATGTCCTCAGAAAGAGAGAGTTTGTGTGTGTGTGTGTATGTATGTGTGTGTGTGTGTGTGTGTGTGTGTGGTTTGTAGCATGTAGCTTGTTTTCCCATGTATGCAGAAAGATATCTGAGCACAGCTAGGCTCAAGGTTTTTTTTTTTTTCTGTGCATATTTTTGAATTAACTTATAAAAACTTTAGGACTCATTGAAATATAATTGATCAAATTTCTAGGCTGTACATTGTTGCTAATTCTCTTATTTATTTTTTATTTCTCTCATTTCTGCTTCTTTGGCAAGAAAACATATACTGTTTTCATAATTGTAAAGGTCTTTCTACAAGCTCCAAGTTGTAGGAAGTTATATTTAAATAGGGAAATTTTTGGTTGAAATGCTTCTGGGGAAATTTTTTTTCCCATACCCTTTATATGACTGCAGTGTGGTCATGTGACTAGACAGTGTTTATCTGTGAAATATTAGAATTTCAAAATGGTTAGTTGTCCAAAGTACAGCTTTTATACTTCTCAATATTTGCAGTAAGAAAATACTTGAAATTTTTTCAAGTATCAGTT